ATGTGTTTTGGTGGGCACACATAGGAGCACCCACACATACCTCCTTCATTCTGGAAACTTCCCTGTCCCTGGAGTCCTGGTTGTGTGCACCTCGAGGGAAGGATAAAGTTGAGCTTGGCATGACCCGGAGCTCTCCTGTCTCCAGGACACACTTCTGTCTGTAGTCGTCTTGGCCTGGCAGTGACCACACCTTGTACGTGGCTTTCAGATGCTCTCTCATGCCCAGTTCAGTAGCTTTGACCAAGTAAAAGAGAAGCCTTGGTCAGCTGCCTCTAAGCCCTATTTCCCCAAATTTCTAGTGCTGGGGGTGGGTGGGGCATTAGAAATACCCTCCATGCAAGGGCAGAGTGAGAACTGGCATTATCCTTACAGTTATTAATATCCTCATTTGTGGGGCAAACAGTCCAAAGGCCCAGGAGGAGGTCAGGCGACTTGCCAAAAGGTCACACTTGTCAAGGGAGGACGTAGCTGGAAGGGATCCTGCAGTGGACTTTGTTGTTTGTGGGCTTCCTGTCGTCTGTTCCACCTTCTGATGGTCTTTGGGGGTGGTCTGTCTCTTCTGTTCCATTGGATCTTGGTGGTTTGCTTGTTTGTTAGGATTCCCTACCCTCTTGTTGTCAGGAGACCCAGGACGGGCCATGAGATGTTCCCTTCCTGAAATTTAAACCACAAGCTGAGATCCAAAACACGTTTGAAGGACTGACAAATTCTTGCTTCAGTTATCCAGAGTTGTGGCAGCTATAGTCAATTAACAACTGGCTGTGATGGGGTCTGTAGGACTGCTTGGTCTGTAATGCTCTTTCTTCTTTGTCATGCCACTTCTTTGACCTAGAGGTGGTCCGTCTGGTGATGGCCAGTGCTCCTTGTCACCCTGCTAACATCTGAACATAACCATCAAGTGATTGCTACTTGAATTTGAAATTAAGACCTATTTTATGAACCCAACATGCTCTAGGTACTGGAAATCTTGGGGCAGATATATCCGTTATCTCCTTTCATTTTCCTGAGGCTTGCCAGAGCTAACTTTGTGTTCACAGAAGACACAGCAGCTGACTAGGAAACTCTCAGTCACCCAGCCGTCCAAGGTGGGTCTCAGCATTTGTTTGTGTTGTAATCATGCTCTTCCTTCTCCTAAGTACTGATACTACAGAGCAAATTCCTCTTCTATATCTAGGAATTAAAGATTCTTTTCAGTCAACCACTATGAAAATGACCAGTCTGGTCAAGTTGCTTTAGGCCAGGCGGGTGTGTTTTATTTTGTTGGGGTCGGGGCAACTTTTATTGACAAAGCTATCTAATGTTATCATTCAGTGAAATATTTTGAGTAGAATTTAGTACACAGCAGTTTCACAAATTCATCCAACTCTTATGCAAGATGCAGAGATGAACGAGACTGACCTGTTTCCGAGGGCTCAGTTTTGTTTCTGGAAGGTCTCCTCTCGCTAGGGTTGGCAGATGGTCTTTCAGCCTGAATGGTGCCGGCTGGTCTTCCATGGTACATCGCTTTTGACCAGAGCTGTTGTCTTTACCTGGACTTGGTCTTCAAGGGAAAAGGAAGCAGGCGAAGGGGAGCTCACAGGAACATCCTGGGAAGCCCTCATCTCGGCCAGCCTGCACTGTGTCTTTTCACTCTTTCTGGGGTGGGGTGGTTCTAAGACCCTCCATTCAATCCCACATCACTGTCAGGATGGGAATTACCAACTGGAATTCTAAGAGATTGATCTAGAAATGGATATAAATATGGGAGTATCCTGTTCCCCTTTAGTAGGACTTAAGAAGGAACTATTTCTTGATAATCAGGTAACATTCCAGTCTAGGTAACTTTGGATTTTCAGGGTAGGCATTGTATTCAGAACAAAGGCTCTTATTGGAGGTAGTGCTTAGTGAAAGCAGGCCCAGTTCTATGCAATTTCCAGCTAGGGCTGCCATGGATGGGCTGATGACCTTGGGCAAGTCCTTTCGCCTCTGGGGCCTTAGTCTCCTGTGTTTAAAAGATGGGATAAGTATGTTGAAATTGGGTCTGATCTCTAGATTTTCTTCCAGCCTCAAAATTGGAAGAGTCTGTGATCTCTGAAATTTGAAGCCTTTGAATTATCTTCAGTAAAACTTGAGCAAATGTAACCATTTAATATACTGGAAACTACATCGGTAGTACCTCTTTATTAAAAGATACCCGTGTTCTGGTTGCATATATATTCACACATGCATATGTGTGTATACGAGGAGAGACCCCCAATAAATGGAATATATTTATAAAAGATTGTGTATTTATTCTTACATGTTTAAACTTCAATCACTTTCAAAGTACTCTCCGTTTGAGTCAGTAAGCCTGTCAAGATGCCTTTTCCACTGCTCAAAACAGGTTTTGAACTCACCAATTTTGAAGACTTTTAGAGCTTCTGTTCTTTTATTTTTATTTTTTAATTTAATTTTTTTTAAGTTGGGTTCTCGCTCTGTCACCCAGGCTGGAGGGCACTGACACCATCACAGCCACTGCTGCTTCAATCTTCTGGGCTCAGGTGATTCTTTCACCTCAGCCTCCTGAGCAGCTGGTACTACAGGCATGTGCCAGCCACATCCTGTTAATTTATTTTTGTAGAGATGTGGTCTTGCTATGTTTCCCAGGCTGATCCTGAACTCCAGGGCTCAAGCAGTTTTTTCACCTCAGCCTCCCAAAGTGTTGGGATTACAGATGTGAGCCACTGTATCTAGCATGCTGTTTTGTTTTTTGTTTTGTTTTCGCCTTTTCCACATCAGCAAAACGTTTCCCTTTGTGAAGACTTTTTCATCTGGGGAAACAAACAAACAAAAATACACTTGTGGTGAGATCAGGTGAATAGGGAGGGTAGAGTTGGGGGTCATGTCATTTTTGGTCAAAAACTGCTGAATACTCAGTGGGTGTAGACGGGTGTGCTCATAAATCACTCATCTTGAAACGGGCAAGTGTGTTGAAAGAATCTTAAAGTATAATTCACTGAAGCTGAATGCAGCCTCTCACAACACTAGTTGGTACACTGATGCTGATGCGTTCCTAGAACACTTTCCTGGGGCAGGGGGAAGTCTGTATTACAAGGGGCTTGCCTTCTAAATAATCTGGGCTTTGGGGGGGTTCCCCCCTCTTTATATGGATATATGTGTGTAGTTGGGTAATGATCTTACACTATTGTGATGTTGTAGCTTATCGAAGTAAAAATGTGAAAATATTTAAACCAAATCACAAATATAGGGCCCTTAGGGTCTACATTTTTCCAGCTACTGATTCTTGTTTTGGCAACAGTTTTCATATTGTATTTTGACACAGTGGGTTATCTGTGGAGATACTTCATTCAGCATTGTGTGAAGCAGAGGTTTTCACACTGTACTCTGGAACTTGTCTAGAGATTCTCTGAAACCAAGAAAACACTTGAAAAAATGTTTTCAGACTGTATTAATGCACAGTCAGGGAGCTTAGTGGGTTTGGGTTTCTGTGGCCGGCCCAGTCTGTCCACACTTGGGGGTCACATGTCTCCCTCCTCCCTTTTCTTCTGTGTGGTAGTAGCTACCATCCACGTATTGCCTTGTGCTGATAGATTAATGTGGCTTGTGCAGTTGAGTGGCCCTCCTGCCCCATCTGCCTTATTCAAGAATGTTCCATGATTACAGGACAAGCTGTTATGAAACAAGGGCTGTTTGTAACTATTCTTTGGTACCTATCAGGACTTTTCCTAATGATGAGCAACCAGGAGAGTGATCAAGCGTCATCTTGCTACACTTGACATCCCCAGACCCCAGTGTCAAATTTTCAAGTTCATCCATACCACTTCATTGCTCTCCATGATAGACTTTATTATACGAGCATATTATAAATTGAACTTGCTAAAAATGTTTGGAAACGACAGGTATAGTGAAAACGGTTCAGATCTTAGAGGCAGATAGTTCTGGATCTGAGCCCAGGTTTCATCATTGACTAACTGTATGGCGTTGGGCAAAGTAATTTGCCCCTCTAACCTCGAGTTGTCGTATCTGTAAAAATGGGCCTGCTCTCCAACAGGCAGGACATTTTTAAAGGTTATTAATAAGTATACAAATGGACTTAGTCCTGTGCCTGATACATTAAAAAAAGTTCAACAAATCATAGCTATTGTTATGCTTTTCATGCTGAGAATTAAAGTGCTGTATTTCATATCTGGCCATTAAGAAATGTTTATAGAAATATGGATTTTTTTGTATTTGCATGTTTACTTCTATGGTGAACATTGCATTGCATATCCTGGTAATTATATTTTTCTATAATTTAGAGATGTTTTTGCAGGTTATAGGGACAGTATTTTTCCTTTCTGATAGCATATTTGTGGTAAATTAATTTCTTTTTCTTTCATTTTTAAAGTGTGTGGAGCCTTCACAAAATAATTTCTTGTACATTAGTTTCTTCTAGTAGGAAAAAACAACATCAAACGGCCAGCAGGAGTTGCTTTTATGCATTGGGACTCCAAAATGCTGCTTTCTCTTTATGTACAGACTCATTGTGGGTGGACTGTAGAACTCTTTGCTCTCGGAAATGTATTTCAGTCCCTGGGAAACATAATGGGGGATAAAAAGCTAATTTAAAAAGCTGCCATCCGCCTCCTCTAATTAACTTGCTCTTTGCTCTCAGGAGAGGGTTTAGAAATATGAAAACAAGGCAGGCTGCACCGGAAGTGAATGTCATTCTAGTAGTCTATGGTGGGCCCTGGTGTTTTAACACAGAAGTAGTTCGTAGTAAACCGTCAGGGGTCCATCCACAAAGGAGCTCGATGTGCCCTGGCCTCCCGCACACCGCCTCCCCACAGGGCAGGGGTGAATGGCGGTCCCATTGAGCAGGTGCGCAGGCTGGGCAGCTGCCGCAGTGGAAACCTCATTGGAATTCAGCTGCTAGGACCCAGAAGCATCCGGCCCTCCTTGTTGCTTGCTCATGCTGTTGAGAGAGAGCAGGGCCCTTTGTGCTCTGAACCGCACATTGCCAGTGCCCAAGGACACAAAAGCCAGGGAACAAGCACTCAGTCGCTCCCTGCATCTCAGCTTGAGTGGGCAGCCTTGGAGCCTCTGGATTCTGGCAAAGCTCACAGCATCTGTGGCTAGTGGTGCAGCGAACTTTTTTGTGGTATCAGAAGAGATATTTAGATCCCAGAGACACCAGCAAGTAAGCTGTGGTGGGAACTTGGAGGACAGAGGCTGTTCTTCAGTGGAGATGGCTTATGCCTCCTGGCAGATGTGGTCCCCAGTGGAATGGGCCCGGTGGATGTGGGCAGCGGTGACCAGCAGTGGGGACTCCAGTCTGCTGGTCCTTCAAGGAGGCTCTGGAAAGAGGCAAGTTATCTTTGTGTGTCTCATCAATGTTGCCCCGCATACATGCTGTGCTGGGGTCCTGGATGAGGAAGCCAGTTTCCCATGGCTATACCCAGGGCCCACCAGGCCAATCTGAACTCTCATTTTCCTTTGCTGCTCAGTTGTTTCACACTCCACAAAACCTTCAGGTACCTCGATCTGTTGTTGTCCAGGTGTGGATCTTAAATTCTACTTGTAGACAAAAGCTAAGCCTTTTGATATTAATGTGTTTGTAAAAAGTTGGTATCTTCCCTGCTGTGCTTATATGAAGTAAGTATTTTCTTGTGAAATTTAATAGTGTGCCAGATTTGGCTTGTTGGATCCCATCAAAAGCAGCTCTGATGTTTCTCTTGATCTCTTTGGACCCCTGGAGGGCTTGTGGCTGGTTGAGAGAGCTGAGGTCCTTGCATGTTGGGGGTGGGGGGCAGGGGGATCTTTGACACTGATGAAGTTAGTCACTGACAAACAAGTTGGAAAAGCAACATGGATGCAGATTTTCTGAAGGGAACTCACCCAGTGGCTCTTTACTTCAGTCCCAGCGGACAGTGAAGGGAGTGGTTTGGATGCTGGTGCTCTCTGGTGGCTGGTTGGTGGCCTTTAAGAAGATGGTACCTCCACCGAGGTCCCTGGTCCTTTGACCTTTGTGGGAGCTCATGAGGGTGAGCCTCTCGCAGTGCCTGCCTCTGATGATACATCTTCATAAGATTCTCATGCTGGGATCATTTGTGCCCATCAGCAGTCCTATGTGTCTGCCCTCTTGATAATTCACTTCCTCGTTGCAAATGAATAAATGGATATTTTGGTCTGTTTAAGCTATTCTGAGATGGAAGTCGGCCCAGCTACAGCGGCGGCTTCCACGCTGGCCATCCTCAGAGACAAGGTGGGCCCGGGACCATGGACCCTTGGGTGTTTTGGGCACCTGAGGGGCTGCCCTCTGGACTGCAGGAAGCATGACGGGCTCTGAGTGGGGAAAGCCTCATTCTTTCTGGCTTCCAGCTGAGTCACTAGGGAAAGTAGATGAGGATGGGCAGGGCTCTCTGCTCGGTTCTTCTTCAGCCCAGGGCAAGTCTTGGCAAGTGGCATCTCCTTGTTAGTGACTGGAGTTTCTCTGGGTGGATTTTTGGTTCAGTCTTCTGGGGGAAGAGTCTTCCTTGTGAGCAGACTTTCCTGCCGTCCATTGAGGGCTATTTTCCCCATGTCGGGGTCAGTGGCTGCACTTTGTGGCTCCTGACTGGCTTACCTTCTTCATGCGTTTGCTCAATTCACTCCTTCACTCTTTTCACTCACTCGGCCAGTGTTTATTCCCGGCCTCCTGTTGCACACTTGGGGATGCTGCAATGAACAAGGCCAGGTATCCTTGTGGTGTTTTCAGTAGAACAGAAAGATTATAAAACATAGTTAGAAAGTGAATAAATCTATACTAACAAGTTATGAGAAGTGCTGAAAAGGCAGGACAGTGGAGAGGGTGGTGGGGTGGGGATTCTGTGTGGTGAGGTGGTTAGCATGCAGAATGCCTCTAAATCTTTTTGAATCCATACCTGATAACGTGTGCCAAAATTCACCCACAGAGCCCACTGTGTATTTGCCACTAGTGCAAGAAGCCTGTATTTATGGTAAAGCCATCTTCAGAGAATGCATCATTTGAGCACAATGAGAGCTGGTGATAAGATTCACCCTTTGAGCCGGGCACGGTGGCTCAGCCTGTAATCCTCACCTTTGGGAGGCTGAGGTGAGTGGATTGCCTGAGCCCGTGGGTTCAAGACCCGCCTGGGCACCTTGGCAAGACCTCATCTCTACAATAAATCAAAAAA